AACAACAGTCCCGGTCTGAGGGCGGTGCGCTGGCTCGCGTGCATAGCGCACCGTAGCTGGTCATATTTGCGGGGCCGGCCCGTGGTCCAGCCGTGAAAACAGCATCATCCGGCCAAATCGCTTGCTCGAACCCGGGCCATCTATCCAGACGCTGTCCTCATTCAGTCCAGACCATCCTCCAGACCAGACTGTCCCCTCCAGTCCAGGCCCTCTTCATGCCCTTCTCCAGTCCAGGCTCTGGCACAATCTCTCCAGTCTGCACCCTCGCCAGACCCTCCCTCGGTCCAGGCCATCCCTCAGTCCAAACCCTCTCTGACTCCAGCAATCCAGATCCGCCTACAGTCCATATGCTCCAGACCAGACCAGAACCGGCGCTGGGTGGATGAAGTGATCAGGCGGCGGCGGCGGGGTCCGTCTGTCGTCGGGCCCGAGATGGACGAGCGGCGGCGGCCCTCCTCCGCCGCCCGGGCGCGCCCGGCGCCGCACGTCTCCATCACACCGGCCCGGCCCCCTGTCGGCTCCGCAGCCGGCCGAAAGCAGCTTGGCGCCGGCCGGCTTGGCTTGCCGGCCAGAGTGCGCTCCATGAAACGCCGCCGCTTCCGTGGTGGCTGAGGAGGCGCTCTACTCTGCCGGAGCGTCCCCGCACGGAGAGCCCCGACCGATGGTGGTCCGCGTGACCCCGCTCTGCCCGAGCGTCCCCGCACGGAGAGCCCCGACCGATGGTGGTCCGCGTGACCCTGCTCTGCCCGAGCGTCCCCGCACGGAGAGCCCCGACCGATGGTGGTCCGCGTGACCCTGCTCTGCCCGAGCGTCCCCGCACGGAGAGCCCCGACCGATGGTGGTCCGCGTGACCCTGCTCTGCCCGAGCGTCCCCGCACGGAGAGCCCCGACCGATGGTGGTCCGCGTGACCCCGCCCTGCCCGAGCGTCCCCGCACGGAGAGCCCCGAACGATGGTGGTCCGCGTGACCCTGCTCTGCCCGAGCGCACCCGGCAGGGGGCTCGGCCAGTAGAAAACTGCGTGACCCTGCTCTGCCCGAGCGTACCCGACAGAGGGCTCGGCCAGTAGACGACCGTGAGACCCTGCTCTACCCGAGCGCACCCGACAGAGGGCTCGGTCAGTGGAGGACCGCGTGATCCCTGCCAGTGGCAATCCGTGCGATCCTGCTCCACCCGGGCGTTCCTCGAACGGGGGACGCCAGCCGTAGTTGGTGGGAGACCGCCAAAGGGCGGGGCGGGCTGACCCGCAAAACCTGCTAACTGCCGTCTACAGAGGTAATTGGGCGGGACCGATGAGGATTCTCAGAGAGGGGCCGATGGCGAGAGGGTGGTCGGCGCGGCCGAGGGCTGACTGCGGTCCGGGAAGGGCAAAGGGCTCCGACCCGGCCAGACGAGGGGCACGGCCCAGCTCATCAGCGGTCAGCGCTCATTACTGAGCAAGCCCCAGCGCCGGCCGCTCCACGCAGCGCCCAACCTTCTGTCCCCCCCCCCCCCCACCCCCTCCCCCGTCCTCAGGAGCATCACACCAGCATTGCAGAGCCCGGCTACTGCTGGGTTGGCGCTGTGTTCTGAACGTCTTAAATTGATTGAATGCGCTGTCATACGGGCAGTGGAAACCCAGACGCTTTGCGCCTCGGTCGGCGGGAGATGTGACATTAACTGCCAGTGTGCTAAGAGCCAGTAAAATAAGTAGGGGTCGTTGTTATCCTGCTGTTTCAGAGCTCAATCAGGCGGGACAATTCATGCGCAGCGGGCGATGGATTTAAGCAAGGACGGGATCCAACTCGCAAGCGTCGCGATGAAAAGCGACGGCTCAGCCCACCAAACCTCACGAGCTCGACCCGGATAATCTCCGGTACAATTTGAATTCATGCATATGAGTTCGAAGCTCGTAACCGGAAACATCAACCCAATAAGACAGAGTAAGACGTGACGGCCACCACCATCACTATAACCATGAAACGAAGACAAGCTGTAATTATTTAGAATAAGTGGTAAGGCTCGGCAGGCACCCAACGTGAGAGAATTCCAACCATAAACTTGCAAACACCGTTACCGCTGTGTGTGCACAACACCATTTGCGCCTCCAGCCGGCCAAGTTCAAGAGAAGGAGCACAGCCGAGGTCAGAGAAGATTGCAGCCCGGCGACCTCAGGGGACAGCACGCCCCTAATGCCAGCTCCCGAGCCTCACCGGCCGCCGACAAATTCGGCTAATTGTTCGGGTCGCGAAGGTCTTCCCAGGAAAAAGCCGCTCTATGTGACCCTGAGGCGATTGTTGGCGGGCAGAAAGGGCGCCATTCACGCCGTGCACGTTTACGAGTAAGACCAGAAAGCCTGAGTCGCGAACACAAAACACGCCCGGCTGTAATTCCTCCATTGACTGGTTCTCCGCTCTGGCCTCGGCTGAGAGGTCCGAGCCGGCGCGCCGGTAAAAAACCGCGCCGGCGGCGCGACGCCAGGCGAACGGGGAGGGAGCATTCCAGGCGATGACTTATAGAGGGAGCGCGCTCACGGCGCCGGCGCCGCAGCCCCCGGCGCTGGTGTCGACGGCGGGGCTTTAACGAAGGCGCCGGCCGGCCGTGATCTGCAGAGGCTGGCGCCGGCCGAGCAGCGCCGGCTGAGACCAGCGCCGGCTGGGACCAGTGCCGGCTGAGGTCAGTGCCGGCTGAGGCCAGCGCCGGCTGAGGCCAGCGCGCGGCCGCGGGCGACGCCGTGTCAGAGCTCGGTCGCGGTTGAGCCCCGCTGGCTGAGACCAGCGCCGGCTGAAGCCAGTGCCGGCTGAGACCAGCGCCGGTTGAGACCAGCGCCGGCTGAGGCCAGCGCCGGCTGAGGCCAGCGCCGGCTGAGGCCAGTGCCGGCTGAGGCCAGCGCGCGGCCGCGGACGACGCCGTGTCAGAGCTCCGCCGCGACTGAGCCCCGCTGGCTCTGACGGTGGGACGCCATCCACCCACGCCCGGCTTAGACGCGTCGGCGACGTACCGGCACATTACCGGGGAACTGCCTCCGGCCGGGGGTGCGTCAGAGAGAGGAAGCCGCAGCGGTACCAGGCATACCATCCAGTCATCTGTTTGACTGCGCCCAGCCGGCCGGACACGGTATAGGCAGAGCCCGGCTTCACGGCCGCGGCGAGGAGTGGTCCACCCCGATTAACTGCAGCGGATGAAGTGTTGGACGCGCATCCACAGCCGGCTAATGTCCTCCCTTCACATATGTGTCTTGCGAACGCAGAAGGCACTCCACCTCCACTGCACATCAAGTCCTGCGAATAAACGTTCCAGGCGACAAAAAGGAAAAACATTCCAGCACCTTTACAGCACGACAGGGTTCTTGCACTTCGCCGGAGTTTTTGATACATGAACGCTCCAACCGAGTACGGTAATTAGTGTTTAGGATTATCGTAAACGGCCTTCAGCCATCCACACCTTGACAGTTAGGAAGGCATCGAGTCGGAAAAACTGAAACAAGTCGTCCGCCAGTGTCAATCACCCGCCCATTTCTCCTCTCGACACAAAAGACCAGCTTTAATGGCTGTTAAAATCCGAGGAAGAAAGGGTTTACACCCGCCCTCGTTACAGGCCGCTCCCGCTGTGCGAGTCGCCCAGGGGCTCGGACGTCTCACGGCGCATCCCACAATCGGAGGGACGCCATCAGATCGCATGACTCTCGCACGTGCACCAACCCTCCCTCCACGCCCAGGTAAAAACGGGGCCCAGCGGGCCGCCGCCGCCGCCGGTCGGCATCAGGAGGCGCCGCCGTCGCCCATGCGCAGCTCTGTGGCGGCCGCGCTGGACACCGCCAGACGGGCCGCCCAAATTTGAAGGGCCCGCTCGTAAATTTTGACGCGGCCGCCGGGGACGCGGCCACTTCTGAGCTAATTCCCGCCATAAAATGAGGCCCAGGGCCGGGCCCTGCTGCGGAGGGAAGGTGGAACGTCTGCTCCCATTTGAATTTTTACATCCTACGGGGATCCACAGAGTCACGCATGGCCGACGGCCCTGTCGTTCACGGGCCAGACCAATCCATCTTGGGCGGACCGGTGCCGAGACACAGTGCTTCTCGATGACCGGGGTTATTCGGGTGGGACGGAAGAAATCCGTCGTTCCCAGAGCACACTGGAAAGTCCGGCGAGCTATCTGAAGCACTGGTCGGCCGGGATCCCTCGCTGACAACGTTTTATAGCAGTACGTGTTTGAGTTGCTTTTTTGCGGCGCGGGTTAAGATGTCACGGCATGCCCTGAGCGATAATACGTTTAAATCTCTGTCGAAACAAAAAAAAACAGCAACCATCATATAAAACTTCATATCTAAAGCTCAGGTTTCCAGTGTCATCGCAGACATCTTGGACAAATTGTGCTTGGCTTGCTTCAGTGTAAAGACACATCATGTCACAAGGTTTTTCAGGGAGGATCAATGGGAGGTGTGCACCGCTTACTCTCAGCTCCCCAGGTATCATACCGTGTTCCAGAAAATGTCCAGGCAGTGGGGGCGACAACCGATGGTGAGTGTGCAGTCGCCTATCTCTGCAACCTGTACATGCCTTATCTCAGTGCTAGCAAACTGACTGGCCCATTACATAAATCCACTACGGCACAGATTACAGATACAAGAAAGATTGCAAAAGTGACACAAACTTCATGACTGAGATAGTGATGGAACAGCGGGCCTGCAGTCGTAGCCAGGCTATATCCTCCCCCCATCGGAGCCGGACGCGTCACACGCGCGCCAGGCCCGGACCGGCAGCGCCAGGCTCTGCCCTGGGTACCGGCCGTGCTTGGCCCCGCGCGTGACCCGCCATCTGTAATTCCCGCCAGTAAGCAGGCCTGGCCCGCTCGTGTGAGCATGCGCCTTGCGGTCTGACCCGAAATGGAGCCGGGCTCGCCCCGCACGTTCTCACCACCGCCGCCTGTTGGCTCGGTCCGGTGCATGCGAGTACGGGCCAGGTATATAGTGCACCGCTGACACGTTCGGGTTTGGGCTCGGACGGCGCAACGTTCTACTGACCTGCTCAGGCTTGAGTCCGGGTGGTACCCAGGTGTACTCCTCCAGCGCGCAGCCGGAGTCGTCGTCGCTCTGGCTGTGGCGCTGGGGGTCGCTGCTGCGGCCCGGTAGGATCTTGGCCAGCGGACTGGGCGCCGCCGGCACCGGCGGCAGCTCGCCCGCCGCCGCCGGGCTGCACTGCGAGTGGTCCTCCCGCGGACACTTGCAGTTGCGGCACACTTTCCTGCGGGACAGGGAGCTGGCGTCAGTGTCAGCTGGCGGGTGGTGGGGACGCGTCAGGGGCGAGCGCGTAGTTCGGGCTACACGCGGCGAACACGAGATCTTCTGGGTCATTGCGCTAAGAAAAATCTGATGGATGGACCATCAAACTTGGCACGGCCCATAATTATACCCGTTCTTGTGCAATGATTTTGAAACGAGCCCGTGCGTGATGCCCAAGCTATTCACTAAGTGACCAAAACACGCTATCCATTAGATAATGGGACACGTTTCTGGGCTTTCACCAGGCGACGGGGGTCTCACGCTGACACGACCCGTATAATATGAATCAAGCACCGCCTAAATGGGGCCCCACCTCCCATTACTAGCGGGGCGCTCAGGAGCAGACGGCCGCCCGGCCCTCCTCCCCGCTGTTGGAGTGAGACAGGCCGCTGGAAGCCAGCTGCCGGCCGCCTTGAGAAAGTGTCCAGCTGCAGCACGAACCGCCTCGCTTTCGTCGGCGCCGGCCAGTGTCGGCGTCTGCCGCCTAATGACCGGCTCGTGATGCGTCCGGCCGACTGCAGGCCGCCTCTGTTGCGGCGCAGCAGAGGCGGCGGCAGTCAGAAGGGGGGGGGGGGGGAGCCACGGCGACCCCTGCCTCTGCGACCCGCGTGCACCAGTGTATCTCTCTGTCCGACTTCTCTAGAGTCCACCTCCCAGCGTCTGACTGGGGTCACAGCCGCGACCTCGTCCTCCCGGATCACGTGCTGGGTGCGCCTCTGCTGACCCCCACCGCACCACGGGCCACGCTACTCGACGGCGTGGTCTTTTTACGAGGCGCCCCTCGCTTTGACAGGAAAATGATCATGCAGACCTGCTGGTTTTTGTCCAGAGGCGGCGGAGGGTGGACTTAAGTGCGCGCTAGCCAGACAGGGCTACGGACGTGTCTATCATCATCAGAAAAATCATAATTTGCCGGGGGGAACTTGTGAAGCGTAACAGCTTCCTGTAGGTAGTTGCAAAACTTAGCCTAACCACCTGTCTGACTGGTGAACGGCACTCAACTGTGGAGTGCGGAGGGAGTCCGCGCATATAAATTACCTCTGCTCGAGGACAGTGTTCTCTGGTGTCTTCGCCCCGGGCACCGGTAGCTTACGTATGGTTGCACAAACACAAACAAGAGCTGTCAAGGTGTCGCGATAGGCATCTGGTGGGACTCCCGGTATCAAAAACCGGCGGCATTGTATTCCTTGGCGCCTTGTCACTGTCCGTACGGAACAAAAGAGTGTCATGACAATTAATGAACGGTGCGGGGCTCCGAGGTTCTCTGCGCCCCTCCCGCGCGGCTCCGAATCCGCCCAAATCTGCACCCATTCGGCCGCTGTCGCTAAAACGGGCGGAGAACTGGCCGCATGGCTGGCCAAGCGTTTTATTAATTGCCCGTGTCCCTTAAGCGACAGTCGGCTAAATGAGGTGTGGATAAACGATGAGCGTGGCTGACGCTGATCGAGGGACGCATCTCCGGAAGGCGAGATCTCCACCGGATGAAGCCGGCGCCCGAGGCGCCCGAGACTGCTCTCCAGACGCCGATTTCACCGGCGCGTCTCGGCCTTGCCCGCTGGTTACGCATGTTTTGAAGGCACTAATGACCAGTGCGCGGGATGGATCCTCTCCATTTGCTCCTTGTGCAAAGCCCAACGTGGGCAGGTGCTCCGTGGCTTTCCTGGTTTAACAAAACTCGCCGCCAATCCGCAGCCACAATCAAGCATCGTTAACCGACCAACAAACGAGCAGACAAAGAGCAGGGTGGACGGCAGTGGCGCGGAGTGACACCTTTACCCGCCCGGAGGGCGGACGGCGGTCTGGTGCGGAGTGCCACCCCGCCCGCCCGAAGTGTGGACGGCGATCTAATGCGAAGCGACGCCTCGACCCTCCCGGAGGGTGGACGGCGGTCTGGTGCGGAGTGACACCTTTACCCGCCCGGAGGGTGGACGGCAGTGGTGCGGAGTGACACCCTGACCCGCCCGGAGGGTGGACGGCGCCGGCGGTCGTGTCACCCAGCCGCCAGCCGTCAGCGCCAGCCCTCTGTGTGGTCCAGCGGCGCTAACGACCGCCGCCGCGCTAACAAATGACAGACAAACGGGGGGTGGGTGCCGCGTGGGGCCGTGTTCGACATCATCGGCCGGCGTGACGGCCGAGACAAATGCGGGGACGGCGCGCGGCCGACCGCCGCTGGCGTGATTGACGCGCCATGCACAGCCATCGGTCTCGCCGCGAAAGGCAATTTTCAATTTTCCCCCGCCGCGGCGGCCACGTCCGAAGCTAACGAACAATGGCCGACGTTTCGTCTCGGGAAATTGCCGGCATTCATTTTTTAGTCAAGGGCATTGGACGCTGGACTTCTGGAACCGAGCCATTAATAGCGTTCTAATTACGCCCTTTACGACCAAGGAAGGGTTCTGCGCCGGGTTAAGTATGGAGGCGCGGCTGAGCCGACCGCCGCTGCTCACGACAGCTCGCGTCCGGGCCGTCCCGTTCCACCCCGGCCCGCCGCCGGCAATGTAATTGTCGGCGCTGCTCTCCGAGATGGGCCGCTGTTCTCTGGCCGCGCCCGATCACAACAGAGGCGCCGCACGCACGCGCACAAACACGGCGTGCCGGGGCAGAGGCGGCGCGGTCAGCGCGTGCCGCAGGGGGTGGCTAGGCGCCGGAGGGGGCGGCCGCGCCCCGGGCCGGACAGCCGGCACTAATCGCAGGCCGCGACCACCCGCGCGCTCCAATCCAGCCGGCTGGCCGGTGCGGGCGGCGTGCGGCGGCGTCGGCGGAGAGCGCGAATCTGTGCCCCGGTAAAATATAGGCAGGGGATTGTGGGACATGATGACAGCGAGGAAAACACGTCGGGAAAAACAGGGCCGCCGATTCTGTTATCACCAGGAATGTTGGTAGATGATGGATCCGCGATAGATGATCGACGAGCGTGTTCAACTGAAAACGTGAAACATGATCTTTCTCCAGCGCCGGATTCACTTGGATTATTTGGAGGAGAAAGCCTGACTCAAAACATCAGCGGGAAAACAGCGTGTCGACGGCAAGGTGTCAGCAGATCGACAGCGCAGCCCGGCAGGCAGAACAGAGGGAAGACGGGGGACAGAGCAGATAGGAGACGGGAGCGGAGCGGAACGGGGACGGGGGCAGAGCGGATGGGAGACGGGGGCATGGGGGATGGGAGACGAGGGCAGGGTGGATGGGAGGCGGAGGCAAAGCAAATGGGAGACGGAGGCACAGCGAAGGGGCGACGGGGGAGAGTGGATGGGAGACAGAGCGGATGGGAGACGGGGACAGGCCGGCGCGCGCAGGGGCCGCCCGGCCGGCCGGCGCCCCGGCGTGAGGCCAATCCACCACCTCCGCCGGCCCGCCGCGCCGCCCGGCAGAATTATGAATTTTTCGAATGGCTGGGATGATGAATGGCATCAATGAAGTGATATCGGTGGAAGATCTGGGATGGCGGCTGAGGCGACCCGCGCGCCGACGGGGAAGGGCGGAGCCGCCGCGGGGCACGCGGGAGAAAGCCGGCGCGGGCCGCCCCCGCTGAGCGCGGGCCCGAACACGAAACACGCGCGCGGTCGTGACCGGGAAGCGTCGAGACACGCGTCAAACACGCCGGCCGGGCCCGCCGTCCTTTCAGATGGTGATGAGACCAGCTTTTACTCGAACGGCAGCAGGGAACGCCGTTTCGAAACCGGCCGTCGTGGCGCTGTGCCACCGAGGATCGCGGTGTCCCATCTCTGCGCGTGATGAATGTCGAGGTCACACTATCGCACACGCTCGGAAGAGAGCACGCAGGGGCTCGGACATGTTCAGCGCCCGATCGCCAGACGCTCCCCTCTTCGAATTCAGTGTGCGTAGCCGAGATTCGGCACTAATGCCATTTCCACGGGTTTTCTTCCACATATGGTATGTTTAATTCCACATTGGGCGCCCCATAGTTCCGATCATTTCCATACAGATGTCGGCCGTGATTTATTTTACAAAGCGGCGGCGCCGACCGGGCCGCAGCGGCGCTGACTGACGGCGATCGCAGTGCCCGCCGGGCCGCAGCGGCGCTGACTGACGGCGATCGCAGTGCCCGCCGGGCCGCAGCGGCTCTGACTGACGGCGATCGCAGTGCCCACCGGGCCGCAGCGGCTCTGACTGGCGGCGATCGCACTACCCACCGGGCCGCAGCGGCGCTGACTGACGGCGATCGCAGTGCCCACCGGGCCGCAGCGGCTCTGACTGACGGCGATCGCAATGCCCACCGGGCGGGCCGCCCGCGCCGTCCAAACCGCCGGATCGCACCGCTTATCGGCCCACCGGGCGAAAATACGCTTGCACCAGGCCTGATCCGACTGAGTTCCGAGAAAAGAAGCTTGAGAATGGGAGATCCCTCGTCACGAGGCTGTCTGGATCCGCGCGGGACGTAATGCCGTTATTCGCACGCGACTGCACCGCCGCGATTGTACCCACCCCCTCCCCCTCTCCCGGAGCTGGTGGCCCGTGCGGGATCGGTTCGACTACCGTATTTACACGATCGGACGATGCGCTAGTTTTCGTTCCAGGTGCACGGCTGCCCGGGCTAATGGTAAGATCATTCCGAGTCGCGTTCAAGTGGTGGCGAAGCGTCTCCTGCGTGTTTGCATCAGTGCAGAACCGGTCACAGAACTCATCGTGCAGAAGAACATTGTCGCACAATAGAGGTGACGACCTCGCATGCGGGGCAGAAGGCGAACATTTGACATGCACCAGACTGTCCAGGACACACCTCAGTGGGTTTATGCTCTCAGCGGTGAATGCTCAGCATGAACACATGATTCATTAACCAAGCCAGGCCACACCTGCGCAAAATCCGCATGACTAACGACCAGCGAGGGCTTTGTGAAGCTCATGCTTGCTAATGAACAAGTAGCCACCACAGCGGTCAGTGCAGTCTATCCAACTAATGAATATCATCTGATGTGTGTGTAGAACAAGTGGCGTCACTTCCGC